AAAAAAATTAACTGTCAGTGGATGTATATTGTTGACAGCAAATAGCACCGGTGCCTCATTCATATTTAAATGTTTTCAAATGCGGAAAAAATCCACAAACATAAGAATCCAGTTGCCTCCATTCAGCCTTTATCAGGTATAACATGATTAAGAATCTGCATACACACCAAGAATACAATTTTAATAACATTGGTATTGATATTGTGACAATTTTACAGATCAAGATAAATGCACAGTTTTATGCATTTAAATCCTCATTCCATGTGAATAATTTTAAAAGCCCTAATTATCCAAGATATAATCTTTACAAATAGGAAAAGCAAATTATTTAGTTTGACTGAGAAAAAAAGTTGAATCGTATTAGATAACCTTGTATTATTAAAAAAAAAAAATGCCCAAAGACTATATTGTCACATCATTTTAAAGTTCGCAGTGGTCAACCAAGCTGAAGGGATGTTTGGGAAAAAAAGGAAAATTAACTTTGACATGGGAGACACAAAAACAGCAATTCTTACCTTAATGACGGTTGCAGCGGCCTCAAGTCAACTGCTAGGTTAGGAACTAGAAATGTCTATGCAGATCATCAGCAAAAAAGAAAAACTGTGCATAGGATGAATAACAAAAAGGGGTGTGGTCAAACTCTCAAAGTCCCCCAGGACGTTACCTTTACCTCGTCTGTCCGCGTGTGTTGGTAACTGGAGCTGATTCCGGGTCTTCATGCCTCTGGCTGTTTGGTGCAAACAGGTGACGCAAGCTGAGAAATCTAAGGCAACGTCTTACAAGCATGCTCAAATTTTAAAAAGCCTGCTGGGAATTAAAAAAACAAAACAAGTTAAGGCAATTAGAATTTAAAATTGGCATCGGGCGTGCAGTGATGTAGTGTCCTACCTGATCCAGTTGATGGCACTAGAGTGAAAAAAGTTTTTTTTTTTTTTTAATCTTGCAGTGTGCATTTTATACTGAATACAGAGTAGCATTTCAGTGCTAAAATTAATGTGTTCAGTGGAACATCGAAGGTAGAGCCCCCTGGAGAACATTAGCGGCTAACCGCTACGTTCATGTTTTGTAATTTATGCCAAGTAGTGTTTCAGGGGTAAGAAGAATTGTATGTAGCGGAACTTCAAAAGTGGAGTTCAGGGCTCATATAAGTATTAGCAGCTCGGTGGCTAGCCTTTTCGGGCATGTTTTAAATTTAAGGCAGGTTATTGTTTTCAGTAGTGAAGTATGCTGTGGCTAGCTGCTATGGACATGTCTTTGGTATTTTATGAAGAATATTGCTTTAGTAGCAAATGGCTGTACGCAGTGGAGGCTAAAAAGTCCACACTAACATTAGCAATAGCAGCTTGCGGCTTCAGTAATGTTTGAACTCTGCACAGTGGAACCCAAAAAGTGAATTAGCATGAGCAGCGGGCTAACTTGCCACTTCATGTTTGCATTTTGTCATGTTTCAATGGTGTGATATAAGCAGTGGAACATGAAGCACACTACCTTAGCATTAGCGGCTAACCAATACGGGGATGTTTTT